TAATAATCTCACAATAACGGTGCATTGTTTATAAAACACTCTTTGATGGTCTGCAAGTCACCTCTCGACGTCTAATAGACGTATTTCCGATTTCGCGTTTCTGCCTAGAAGCATTATAATAAAAATAGAAATTTTATTGTTGGAAAAATAATTTTATAAAATATATTTTCAGTTCTATACTAGTATTCTTCGTATTGTCGAGAACAAAGGTAAGTGACCCCAAAATCGGACATTTTTAGCCTATTATTTTGGTGGCCCTCGAAATTAGATTTTAATTATCTATATTGCAAACTGTGAACTGTGATATTTACACCTCATGTGATATTTAAAGTATCTTAATATAAGATTTAAGGCCATTGCACGTAACAAAGTTTTAGTCGTAATCGTAATAAGAAAATAAACCAATCACACTCGATTATTCTTCGAGCGCGAGGTTCTAATAATCGATTTTGATTGGTTTATTTTCTTACGCATTATGGCTTCTGCACACAGGACGCGGAAACGTTTGCCGCGCCGGCCGCGCGGCAAGAAGCGACGCGGTAGCCAATAAACTTTTGGTTTTTACGGAAAAGCAACACGTTGATTGGCTGCGCGTCGCTTCTTTCCGCGCGGCAAGCGTTTTCGCGTCTTGTGTGGAGAAGCCATTTATATGCAGCCGAACCATTTACCCGCTGAATTCGAATAAAAATTATTTATTTATATTTTAGACAAAAATATATATTTAAATGAAAAGTAAATCAATTATTAAGAATGTACAAACGATATACAATCCAAATATATTAAATGTTTTTGTATTTTGTCGTAGATGAGGGGCTAAATATATGGACCTATATATGAAAGAAAAGAAATAAATGTAAATTTAACCGAGAAACCGAGATTAAAGTTAACCTACATTGATAGAAATGGACATTAATCCGCAGTGAAGATAGCCGCATTTATTTGAATCCACGTGCGCCACGAGGAAGAAGACGGAGTGCGCGATCTTCGTTCATTCTTCATGACCCGTGCTTGTAATGTTGTAATCGTTGTGTTTGTGTGGCATCTCGCACGAGCGTTTAAAACGCAACGCTAAATTAATTAATTGTGGATATATTAATGACAATATCGGTGTTATGGATGTGGATTTGCTTAGACCGGGCACCGTGCCGATCTCGCCGGACACGATACTGTGGTTTGAGTTTCTGTTGAATCCTTCGTTGTTGCAGAAACACCTGTCAAAACCATTCCCGGGTAAACAATTGTATTATTATTATTATTAATTAGCATAATGTTAGAAATAGTTCTAATATTAAAGAATATTGAATGACGAACTGTTCCTTTTTATATATTTGATGAAACCACTTATGGAATGAATGATATTAATTTTGTATTAAACGAAAGCTTTTTAAACACCATGACTTTCAGATCCATCGCCTACAGACCTGATGATAAAATTTATGACTATTAATTCCGATCAGAAAGAGACCGAGCCAAAGGCGATTGATTCAGAATCTAATGACGTAAAATCCAACGGCACAAACAAATGGACTCACAGAAACCTGGCATTAAAGATACTCTCACTGAAAGTAGCGGCTTACCTCAAATGGGACTTGGATGTGCTAGAGAAGAAGCTACCGCTGCCGATACAGTTGACGTTACTGCAAGATCTGTTTTATATCACTTCGGACGTTGTGGTGGAAATTCCTACAATTCCAGAATTTTTTATGGAAACCGCTTCCGACCAGCTCCTGTTCACATTGGTTTTATATCATAGATGGCACCTAAGAGCGATTATTTGTAGGGCTCTCGGCAATAAACAGCCGAAACAACAATTACTTCACATGTAAGTTTTATTTTTATACGAATATGCATTGTTGCAGTACCTTGAAATGATTTTACTTCATTATAAGCTATGAATAAAACAATCTTATTGCGATCTAGACCAGGTACTCAAGAATCAACGTATGTACCTCCCGGTATAGTAGATGATATTATTAGGAAATTAGAAGCGCACATACCAAGCAGTGTAAGTGCCCTAAACAGTATTTTACAAATGTCCGATATAAAGCCAAAGGTTCTGTCTTTTGACACTTTTCAAATGCTGACCGAAGACAGTACGGAGATCAAGCAAAATTGGGAAAATATGTGCCTGGTGAACATAGACGAGTTTAAATGTCAGGTACAAAATTTGCGAGCTGGATATTGCTATTCTTGTTGGAGTTGACAAAAAAAATTGTATGTTATTTTGCTTCTTAGATACATTATGATCTCGCGATGTTTCATTTATTGAGGGAAGAGTATCAAGAGGCCAAATGCCATATTAAACAAGCGAAGGAGTTGTACAGTAATTTTAACCCGGCAGAAAAATTGACATATTGTAAAGTACAAAGAGAGTTTTTAGATGGCTGTTGTTTAGCGTGCGAAGTGCCGATAGAGGAAGTCACGCCTAGTCTTACGCAACGTTTGCACGCTTCTATCAAAGATCAATACACTGTGAGTATATTTTTAAGCATTTATCACATGTATGTTACTTTTTGATACTATATATTCACCACACACGCAAAATCTGCAGAATATATTGCAGATTTTGCAAGCAGATAATGTTTTCAGGGAGATACCACAGGTTTATAGAGACAATTTGGAGTTGGATGTACAAGGCGGATTAGTTAACAGGAAATTTGTGGTTGCCCGGGATCTTCTGTTGCAAATACAGTGCTTGAATCTGGTTAGAAAAATCCTTGGTGACAATATAGTTCTGGGTGATTATGTAACTGAAATTAAGGCAGCTGGTACGAAGGGTCTGGATATCTTATTCTGGGTAAAAATAATTTCTATTCATATTTTTTAGTCTTTCTCAATCAAAAAATCTCTGGTCATTGGCAAAATCATTTCTCTTAACTTTTAAATAATTGAAAATGAAAGTTTTCAGATTTTCTTGTTATTATTCTGTAAAATAACTTTTCTTAACTTTTTTTGAATACGCATCAATTTATAAACTTTTTAATAAAATTTTTTTAAATTATTAAATAAATTAATTACTATTCATATTTTGTTATGTGCTAGGCTTTAGATAATGTCTTGGAGAAAGTAACGACTGTGGATAAAAAACGAATTGCACGTTACCTTCTTTATCTTGTAAACACTACTAATATAGAAGGGCTTGCTTCAAAGATATTCAACAATCCTTCCTACACATCGTTATTCGATGAAGCAGAACTCGCTACTCTTCAACAAGCAGCTATTTCTGATGAGATAGAATTACCAAGCTTGTTGCTACATAACGATTGGGGTATCCCATCTGTACCATATATACGTAAGTACAAACTGTTATGAGAAAAAAAGAAAATAGAATATTATTAAAGATATTACTAAGACTTTACTTGATGGTCTTACATGTTGACTAAAATTTCTTTTTTTTGTTAAAAATTTATAGAAAACGCGAGGATCGAAGTGTTCGAATTGGAGCAAAAATTAATAGTGTCCTATGATCCTCATGTAATTCGTGAAACGTTGATCCGCCTGGACGGAAAACATCGAATAAAATCGTTATATCATATAAATGGCTGTTGGGAGTTACCCATTCCATTGCAGAGTGTATTAATGTCACTTTCCAGGGGTTTTATCCAGGATTATTCATACGTCCTGCTCGCGAAGAGTCGAGAATTGGTGACTTCTAAAAACTTCGACGGTGCCATTGAATTGCTCAAGATATTGGATAAGGAGCTACCAGGAGCACCAGGACAGGAGCACCAGGAGCACGTGAAAAGCGGAGGCTCGTTAGTCTTCAAGCTGTCAAAATTAGTGAGCTGGGAATGTCTGCTCGTCGAGATATGGAAGTGTTTCCAGGCTTGGCCGGTGACGAACGGTTGTACGTGCATGAAGAATTAAAAATGTTTGTGAAAGAAATGGCGAATTTGTGTAATAGCTCAATATACAAGTACGATATTACTTTTCAGGTGATGTGCAAAGTATGATTGTACGGAGTAAACAGTGCCTCGGTGCGCTACAAGCGTCCGATCAGCTGATTCCGCGACAAGAAATAATAGAATATTGCACGGTCTTTCTTCTAAATATGGCCGAATGGGATTATCTTACTAGTTTGGAGAAACGCTGGAATTACACTGAATTTGCAGCTGCCATAAGCAACGTTTGCCAGGACATCGTTAAGTACAAAGGAACCCGCAAATTTCCACGGGACGCATGGGATATGAGTATGTATTTTTATTAAAGTCACATACAAAAATTTTTTTGTAAGATTTATACCTCGAGCCTTGAAACTTCATGTTAATTTGATATAATGTTCTCAGATTAATTTTTCTTCAAACGCAAGTTTTGCAAATAATCTAATTGTGTGTATTTTATATTAGAAAATAAGAAATATAAACACTAAAATAAGTTCTATCAAATAAAATCATGCGTTTTATCTTAGTTTTAGCCGCATTTGGTCCCGCTAGGGATCAGTCACAAAAACGTAGCAGTAGTGGCAGTAACAGCGGGAGTTCTTCATCGAGAGATGTTGCCACTGGTATTGCCCATACATTTACTCGACTACGGGAACCTATGGTCCTCAATGTGGTGATATCATTATTGGGTCGTTTGCACAATGTCTTGCGCGATGAGTCTAGTTTGGAATTACACACGCAGTATCTATCCCTTTGGCCTGCCGGAGTACCGAAGTACGTTTATCATATTACATTTACTGTAGTTTTTACAAAACTTGTAATACATATTACGTATCCCTAATATACATCGACAATTTCAAATTTGAATATTAATAATACTGATGTATTTCGGAAGTCAGTGGAGTATTTAATGTCTTAGTGATACAGAAATTAACGTTTACAGTGCAAATTCGTATAACATCAGGCATATTGGAGAACTGTTATTCCAACTGCTGACGCAAGCTTTAAAATATTATCCCTGCAACGTGTCTTGGTTGAGGCTAATGGGTGATCTCAATTTTGGTATGTTTCGTCCCGTCACAAATACAAGTATTAAATATTATTATATACATACTTATATTGTCTTTGTATTACACTTATACTTGTCTCTCCTTTTTCTAGTTCTATTGTACTACGAAAGTGCAATGAGATATTATTTGGAGGCAATCATGATAGCCAGTGATTTGTTTAGTCAACCCATCACGTCACGCACGCAGATAGACGATCTAGTTTACAGAAGGATGATCAAGTGTTGCGCTCATTTACAGTGCTACACTCAGGCGGCTGTGCTGTGCCAATTTTTGGAGGAAGTAGATTATTCTCTGGCGTTTAAAATGGCAGCCAGCGATCAAAAGAGCTGCGCCGCGGCTGATGCTATGGACGCGTATTATCATTGCATTTGGGATACTACGATACTCGAGTATCTCATACATTTGCATACGAAACGCGGGGAACATCACAGAAAGCAACTCGCGGTAAATAATTGAATTAAGTCATCTAAGCGTTGAATGGTGTAATAATAGTTGCATAATTATACGAATAACAATCAAATAATTGCTTTAAATGAATATCACACGATCAGATTTCTTTACGTTTTTGTTCTTATACAAGAATTTCATCTTGCAGATCAAAGTCATCGGTTTGCTGGAATTAAACTCCAACAACAACGAAGAAATTCAAAGAGAAGCGGCCAATATTCGTAAAGCTAAATTTTTGAGAGCGCTAGCGAAACAGTATGTTTATTGAAAGGATTGCCTGAGATTTTTTAATAATATACATTTATACATACAATATCGAATACGTTAGTAAGTTACAATACGTACATTCGTACGCGTTGCATGAATTTTTTACGTTTAAATGTATCCTGCGTTACGAAACAATGTGTAAAATAAATATGTTGGATTGATCCGTCGTTTCGACCTAAATTATTAGGTAAACGTTTAAACTTCGCGGAATTTTGCGCGATGTAAAGGCGAGTTGCTATGTGATAAGTTTATAAGTATTCGTGATTGGTTGAATATAGGAGGCATATCCCTTTAAAAAAAAAACGCCGATACAACGGCCAATCGACATTTGCCGCGACAGCTTCATGTAGGATAATTGAAACATTGCCCTAAAATACCCCTTCCCTGAACGTCCCATCGAGAACGATTTCGAGGTTATGGTCGCTGATAGCGATCGACAGCCGACGCACAAGACAAGTCCGATCATTCGTCCGTGTATCTCGAAGTCGCGACGTATATTTTGCTGAGAGGTTACGGTCGTTATGGCTGCAGCAGACAATTCCGTATGTTTCTCACTCATAACTGAAATCATCCTCATTCGTTGCCGAAATGTCATTTCACGAACGGCGCGTGCATCCGCGACGAAAATGGATTGTTGCTCCGGATCGCGCGATATTCGCCTCGCCGACAATACGGTCGTTCGTGTTGCCACGTATGGTACCCCGAGTAACTGGAATCGTGTCTTAACGGGAGTCTTCTCTCAACTGTGCAATGATCTTTTTTTTTTACAGTGCATTTTAAATACATTGTTGACGATTTGCAAATTTTCGCAACTAAAACGAAAGTTCTAATTTTTAATTTTCTGAGCAAGAGATGTATATGTTCTAATTAAAAATTCGGACGCCTGTATGCAAATCTCCTTACAATATAAATTATGTAATTTTTTTTATAATGCAACCCCACGCGATTTGTTTTTATATAAAATATACTTTTTTGTTGCAGAAACAAAAAGTGTTTAATACTTTTAATTCCGCAGGTCATAAAGATCAATAAGTGGGACGGTTCAGCCGTGAAAAATGCCTTGGACGATGCGGTCAAGGACGTACTTACGAAGAAATATAACTACATAGAAAATTTTAGTCTCCTCGATGGGAGACTCTTTCTCTGCGGGATTGCTGTTACAATAGCTATCGTAGCATTGTTGTGCGATTATTTATATCCATTCCCTGCCTCCAAGCCTGTTTTAATAGCCTGCGTCTCTTTCTATTTTCTTCTAATGGGGCTCTTGACTGTGTATACGTCATACAAAGAGAAAGGCATATTTGTAGTTGCAATTCAAAGGTATATTTACATATATTTGATGATTTATAATTTATAGGACGTCTCTTTGTTTTTATCACTTTGGTTCTTTAAACTCAGTTTTCAATGTATTACAAAGGAAAGAATCAAAGTCATATTTAATACTGAATGTATAATAGAAGTATGGATTTGTAGAATTGCATAAAATGTCAATCTTTCTCACTTTCAGAGATCCAGCGGGTTTCAATCCTGACATGATTTGGGAGGCAAGTTCCTACTTAAAGAAATACGATGATAAATACAATTTGGTGTTGTCAGTCAGGAGCGCGTCAACGGGAGTCTTTAATGAGACAAGTGTGACCAAATCTGTCGCGAATTTCATCGATGTCAATGGTGTGGTGATACCGGAATTGATAGAAGTCGTAGTAATGACCATGCATGACAGTCTGACGTCGCAACGCAAGGAGAAGTAGCAGCGTTTTGAATTCTAATCAGTAAAGCTGTTTTCTCTAAAATGATAAGTTTATTTCCATATGAAATTGAGCATATTCGTTGCGTCGCAGTTCTTCGGTCGTATCGAGATGTATGCAGTCCACATTTTTTCAGTCTCGTGTAACGATGTAAATAACACGTAAAAATAAGAAATCAAGCATTTTTCATTCATGTATTACAATTATTAATAATACTATATTCGACACCTGAAACAAGAACATATATTACAAACCTTTTTGTAGAGCATTTATTACTTATCCCCAACTTGCAGAAAGGCCGCTGATAAAATTGTTCTAATATTTGATATTGATGAAAAAACGAAACTGAATTAGATTTTTTTTTTTTTTTTTTTTTTTTTTTTAATTTTGATTTGAAAAACCTCATCAAGATATATTTTAATAATTTTGATGAATTTTTGAAATTCATAAGACGTGTACTCTATAATTCTTGCTATGTAAATATTTTGTCTTAATAATTAGTGATTTTTTGAGAGTATATTCTCGCTTTTCTATGAGAATGTAACATCTAATAATTTTGGCGAATTTTTTAGATTCTCAAGAACGTTTTCCTTACAGTCAGTGTTTACTATCTGAATATATTATCTTAATAATTAATAATTATTTGAGAATCTCGAAAATTGCGTATTTTACTTCTTGCTATTTTCTATTTTCTATAAAAATATTTTCTAACAATTTTAGTAATTTTTCAAGACTTGTAAGACCTGTATTCTAATCTCTTTAGTATATAGAATTAGAATGTATTTTCCTAATAATTTTGACGAGTTCCCGAGACTCTCCTATACATATAGTTCAATTCTCGTTATCTTTTATATCTAAATATATTCTAATAATATAATTGATAATTTTTTGAGGGTTTTAATTAATAGCGTGTTTTAATTATCGACTGGTATGAAAGTGTATGTGGCGCTTACGCCTACTGTAATAAGTGTACGTTTTGTTGTCGAGTAGTCGAGTGCGACCGTTCTCCTTTTGATCCGTTTCAGCTAAATTCTATCGACAAGTGAATCCAAATAAACTAGTTCTTCTACAACTTTAAAAAATGACGACACTTAGGCCTTTCACATGCAATGACTTGTTCAAATTCAACAACGTGTGAGTAATTTTTAAACGAGTTTCCCTCGTCTAACCTAAAATTCAATTGAACGATAATTATACCGATTATGCCAAGTATTATGATTATATTTGTCATTTTCAGGAATTTGGATCCACTCACAGAAACAGTATCCTTTTGCCCGATCAAAAATCGATAATGTATCATTATTTTATCTCAAGTTTATTGAATCATATTAATCGTGATATAAAATTTGATAAATGTTTAAAGATAATAAATTCTTAGAGAAAAATTATTTCAAAATTACCTTGTTCGTAATGAATAATTTTATATGAAATAATTTTATCCATAATAAAGTAGAGCATTGTCCAATAAGTTAAGAAACTAAAGTGTTTTTACATTACGAGTTACGTTTCATTGAAACAATTTATATTCCTTGATTTTTCACATTTCTATTTAGTACGGCCTTTCGTTTTACATGCACTACCTCTCACACTGGCCGGAATACATTCAAGTAGCAGAATCTCCGAGTGGCGAAATTATGGGTTACAGTAAGTTTGTTTGATCCAAGTACGTTCTTGCGAGTAAAAGCGTGAGTTCATTATTTAACGTTAACGTTTTATTATTGTTTGAAACCATCAAAGTCATGGGAAAGGCTGAGGGTCACGGTGAAAATTGGCATGGTCACGTAACAGCCCTCACAGTTTCTCCCGATTACAGAAGGCTCGGTCTCGCTGCGATGCTGATGAAGTATCTTGAGGACGTGTCAGAAAAGTAAGCTCTAATTTATTACCTGTCATGGCTTATCGATACCTCTTGTTATATGTATTTTTTTATTTAAATCAGGAAACAGGCGTATTTTGTGGACCTCTTTGTTAGGGTGAGCAACAAAGTGGCTATTACAATGTACCAACAATTGGGGTACATTGTATACAGGACAGTGTTGGAATATTATAATGGGGATCCAGACGAAGACGCATATGGTAAAGGTTCTTTAAGAAATATAAAATAGTAAAATCTTTATGTGCGTGAGATATAATAGATGTTGTAATAGATCCTATTTCCAGACATGAGAAAAGCCCTGTCGAAAGATGTGAAAAAGAAATCTATGATTCCACTAACACATCCTGTGAGACCGGAAGAGGTGGACTGAAGCGTTGAGCTTCTCCTCGCATTGACAAAAACTGAAAAGTAAATTATACACAAATTTTCTGTACAAATTATCATAAAATTAATGACTACGTAAGAAATATATGTACGTTAAAAATTTATAACGAATTTCATAGTGACTTCTTTACATTTATCACAGAATATCTAATGTTCTTTTATGGTCCTCCCTTTTATCAGCATACTCCAGTCTCTCTCAAGTGAGAAAAAAAATAATTCGACAATCGCTATCGACGTCTGTAAAATTGTATTAATGTGCAGTTTATTTGTTCCTCTGTACAATAGTACACAATGTTTTCCACTTGTCTCGCTCGTACCTTTTTCATACGAATAAATAATAAATATAAATGTAAGATGTGAGATAGGCTCGGTAGAACGCGATTCAGATAGAGCTCGATTGTGTAAATTGCTAGCTGCCTATTTTGATTCTACTAACTTTTTTTTAGAAACGCAAGTCCGTTCTCATGATATTTACACGAATAGGTGAGTGTAATACGCGTACGATTCCCTCAACTACGTCATGATACACGGGTGCTAATCACCCACGCAACAGCATTCGATATCGCTTCGATATATTATATAAAAAATTAAGGACAAAATGTCGTTCTTGCATATCTTTGTACTGCTCTCAATAGTCTGAGGTTCGAATTATTCGTACAAACATTCACAGTGTGCTAAATGAAGCCGAGTATATGCGCGCCTAGTTCGTACAGTCCGTCCATATTTTCAGATATTTAAAAGAGATCGTGAAGACGCCTGAGATTTTTTTAGACGTTCTCCAGACACCTCGCAGAGATCCTTCGAAAATCGAGACCCGCTATTCCGCTCGGGACAGACACATAGTAATCTCGAAAATTACAAAACCGTAGAAGTCTTGTACGTATTGCACGAAAGCCCTACTTTCAGCTCATAATTTGTAACCGCTAGAAGGAAGACGTTTACTAGTTACGTAGGACACGTCGAACGCGAGTACAAAACTTCTCTCTCTCTCTCTCTCTTTCATTCTCTCATTATCGTTACGCATGTTTAATACACAGTGTTGCACACGTATTACGCGTAAGAACGCAATGTTAATTATATTAAATAGTAAATTACGTTCCCGAATTACATCTATTTGGTCGTGAACCTGTAAAAAAAAAAGAAAAAGAAACCATGTAGTTGGTTATACCTTAAATAAATATCAGATACGAGACTAGCTGTTATCAAAGTTAATATGAGTATATCGGATTTTCCTCTGTTTGTTGATCGATTTCGCGAGAAGCCTCACATACAAGAAACAAATAGACGTCCGAAGATATGAGAGAAATATAGTCAATTTCTTTTTTTGTCAATCTTGTAACATATGATTGTTAAAAGAAATTTATCTTTATCTTTTCTCTCTTGATGTAGCTCTTCTTTTCTTGCCCGAATATATCACAAAATCGAACTTAATTTCGAATAAATTGAAATTATGAAATATATAATTTCAATTAAATTTATAAATTCTCACGCACGACTCAGATCTGTATTAAATTTAAACTCTCAATTTCAGTTAAATTTAAATATGTGACAAAAATTAATTTATTTTAACAAAATAAATTGAAGTAAAATTGATTTTTATGTCCGAAGTAGAAACGCAACAAAAACTGTTGGATAGAATTAGAAACAATTGTGTTGAGTTACATGACATAGCGATAGCATTCGTGTAGGCTTGGAGGTATTTCGTTCGACATCGAAAATTGGGAAAGAACGCATCGCTGTGTCATTCGAGAGAGATATACTCCTAAACATTTAATAACTTCGATTAATATATAATACACGACACGGGGTGAATACATTTCACTATTACGTATATTTTACACATTCTTTTTCGTTCCTGTTGTGTTCTTAATTTGATATATAAATACGTAGCAAAAGTCTCAGCGTACGTAGCCGCGGGATGAAACTATTCGATGTGTAATCGCGCATACTAATTAGGCAGTGTTACAGATCGATTCGATTCGATTTCAGCCGCTCCCTAAATCACCAGCACGATCGTTCGTGATTAGTTCTTGCGCTTATCGTTAAGTATTTACACAGATACGTTCTTATATAAGCTTCGATAGTAATTTACATGCACATGTGACGTAAACATGATTCTAATGCGTCTGACTGCGCGTTTCGTAGAAAAAAAAAACGACCGCACATCGCAGTGTACGATACTAATACTGCACTGTTACGCTGCCTTTATATGATACAAACAACAAAAGAAAATATACATCGTAATCAGATCTTCGCGCGTATCAAAGAAATATATTCCCATTATCTTTCCGAAAAATTAACGTGACCAGCCTTTTTATTAAGGTCTTTGGTGATCCGGCGTCGATTTCAATATGTCAGGTTGAGTTGGAAGACAGCTTGAACCTGTAAAAATAAAATTCATTAAGCACTGTTTCTGTAAAATATTGGTTAGAGTTAATTGCTGAGTAGCAATAGATAATTGCTGCTTTATTAAACAGTAAACAATTACAGATTTATTCATTTTAACTTTTAATTTGTCGTTTGTCTATCAAAGAAATTAATTCTGAGAAGAGATCGATCATCAACATTTATGACACAAGAAATCACTAATAAAAAGTGGCTATTTCAGATCAATATTCATAGTAATTTTGTTTCCTTATTTATCAGTCTCCGAAACAATCCTATATAATTATAATTTTGTAATACGTTTAACGTTAAGAAAACAGAAATCTCTCTTTCACCGACCAGTCGCAGGTCTCAGAGTGGATTTGATGGACCGGTGTGATCCATTGCGTGTTAGAGTATTCATTTGTGGAGTGCCCGGTAAAGCGTGGCCCAGCGCGTTCATATAGTCGGCGATCAATAACGTTATCTCCAATATCTGAAAAACGTTACGATGCCGATGGGTGAAATAAATATTTTTCTAGTAGCTTCCCACGTCATAATTATACGTACTTTGGGTTTAGAGAGTGCGAAAAGCAATTTCTGCTCGGCCGCACCCTCGTCCGGGCAAGCGACGAGCATGAAATCGTCCAAACAACCGCCGAATGTTACTATATTTGCATAATTATACCGGCACATGACAGCCATTGTTTGTAATTCAAGCAACGTTACACTGTCCTCGCACACTGCTATCCAGACCGTTACAGGTTCGGTTTGCTTCAGCTGAATGAAATTACTTTAAAGTAAAATCAAATCACACGCGCGTATATAATCATAATTATATTACACTCTATTATTATACAATCATCTTATATAAAATATACTTATATAAAATGTTTGTAGCAGAAAATTTGTATTATTATACCTTTGCTTGATACAAGGTAGCTCCGAAAAAAGGCCACTTTCTGGTACATGTGAGATATATACGAACGCAATCCAATACGCTACGTCCTTTTAAAGCGAGCCACTTTTCCTGTAACTTCTCCTGCAATTCTCTGAGGGAATCAAAATAATTTGTTATAAAACAGCGAGAAATGACGATATAATATTTAAATAAATATTCTCTCGATATCGAGTTAAATTATCGATCGTTTACCTCAACTGATCGGCGGTAATGTTGGCTCGATAGCGTATTGGATAAAATTTATCCAGAGCCTGGAGTACGAGATGATGCGGATTGCTTCCAGGACCGCTGCCGCGCGCTTTATCATTGTTGTATTCTCCAAAATCGATCTATAAAATTCATTAAACAATCTTACAGAATAATGATTTGATTAAATTATCCTCGACGATAATTAATATGATAAAACGTATATCTACAATTACATGTACTATATGTATTTAACGCATACAAATCATACCTGTGCCATCAACGATGCCAGTTCAAAAGCGAGCTCACGATTTAACGGAAACTTTCCTTGCACAACTTGTTGATTCACTTGGTAACACAGCAAGAGCCTCTCCTTGTCCGTTTCCATTTTAGCAGCTTGCCGCCAGTAGCAACGAGATTTGTATGTCAATTGTATCACTCTAGTATTCTCGAATTTGCCCGAACCCTTCTCTCGTAACGCTGTCTCCCACTTTGAGATAATGTCGCATAGCTAAAACATAGTTTGTACTAATTGTAAGTCTTAAAGATTGAAGTGCATAAAAAGTTTCATTTCCATTAAAAATTTTTAATTTTGTAAATTTTACTAGAGATACAATATAAATTCTATTAATCCCATTAGTATATTTTTAATATTTATTTACTAATGATTTGGTATATTTTTTATGTGAATAGTCTCGAACTTAGTGTGAAAAGAGGGATTTCGCGCGATTTCAATTTTCACGAACCTTCGCTTCTGGATCGATGAAATGCTCGAGATCCTTTTCGATCGGGTCATCGCTGAATAGCGCGAAGCCGGACTGATGAACGTCCCTACAGCCAATCTCTTGATTCAGAGTATTCAGAAATTCCTCTATCGTGGTACTACCGTCGAAGCTCACAACCTGATAGGTGCCGTTCAGAAAGTGAACTGGTATGGCGTGCGGCAATGAATGATGGTACGGATTTTTCATTAGTATCGACAGTACTTCCATCCTCGACGGCTTCACTTCTCTACCGCCGTTCTGCAATGTTCGTTCCAAGGCTCTCTCGCAATAAGCCGCATACTTGCCGCATTCCGTTCTGGTATAATACAACGCAACGTGATGCAAGGTAAACCAACGCTAACAAAAATTAGAGTCGGATTTATCATTGCAGAAAAGTGTTTTTATAACTCGTTTTTTTTTTATAACTTTTTATTCAACTCGTTGAATTAATTAAAATAGATATTCCATTTATCGCAAAGATTATATCGTCGGAATAGCTTCAGCAATGCACGTAGGAACGTTTCGAGTTCCGAGAATTTTGAACTAAGCTAAGATTCGTAACGAAACCTTTAATTATACTTGCTGAAAAGGAAAATGTATTAAAAACTTATATCAATCTTATATCTGCAAAAAATGAGCGAAAATAGAATTGTGAAGATTCACGAGTCTTGCAAGCCAAATCTCATCTCTTAAAGATCTAATACTTTTATTGGAAAGCACTGCCTTTAAAATTCTTCGTTGGAATTCCAAAATGGACTTTAAAATCTATTTTTATGTTTATCTTGTGTAATACAATAAGTCAGAGTAGCGCAATTATTAGAAACTGATTCTCCTGCCTAAAAGAGAAACGTTTCTTCTTATTTTCCCCTGCAATGATCCGAGAGAGAGGCTTTTTCTTCACATTACTCTCTACAATGATCGATCCGCTTTTCGACCGGCTCTCACTCACTTGCTGTCGGCGTTTCTCTGCAGGTGCAGTTTCAGGTACCATAGTAGCCGATTGTTCTTGGGCAGGAAGAGGGAAACGGCGAGCGCCAGGAGCTGCCATCCCTGGATAAGCACATACTGCGCGGGATTAGTTTTGCAGTCCAAGATAGTGGAGGTCGAGTGGCCCTGCGTGAGCGGAGGACTGTGAGAAGTCGAGGCCGTTGATTGCGCGTCCGCATTTTCACCGCTGCCATTTGCCGCGGGACTTTGCGTATCGCAGGTGAAGAGCGATTGCGTGGCGCAGAGGAGGAGCTGCTGCAATGGTATGCTGGCATACTACTACGTCCCGGCATATAACTCAGGCCAATCCTAGTATATTACTTCTCGTCGTCAAAGGGTAAACGCGACACGTTTTACACGAGTGACGAAATGTCTCGACATTATGCCATTTTACTTATTTTTTTTTCAGCTATTTATTACTTTTATTATTTTCTCGATCTATCATTTTGTAGATGGATATTCATTCTCCATATGTATGCATAGATACTATTTCGATCGTGAAATATGTACATTTTGAGAAAAATCAGCGAATTAAAAGAGACTTGAGGCGAAATTAATTCTGTCAAATCGAATTTCTGCCCTTCGAGAGAATGCGAGGATTTGTTTAAAGATTCTTGGTTTTCTATATTCCTTTCTATTCTACCCCTTGTGCCATTCTTCTATCATATCAGTGTTGCATGTGTTACGCACAAGTGATCAATACAGATAATCTTGCTAAATTTTTCAGTGCAACAGTGATTTTATCTTTTTAAGAACTTGAAAAAATTATTTTACATTTAATTTTCTCAAATTCCCAAGATTGATTTTTTCCATTTATTTCGTGAAATAATTAGCAATATAATTTAAGTGCACAATGTGGAAAAAAAGTCTAACTTTTGATTCATTAATTCTTTTTAAAGTAAAACTATAATTCATTTTAAACTAAAACTGCTGATCTAATAAGAGTAAGTTAAACGAGAGAAGAAATAGAAAGCAAAAGAAAAAAATCATCCCACGATCTCGAAAATTAGAAATTCGTAATTTTAGAAAATAAATCTCAATTGATTTTCTTTAATTAACCGATTTATTACACGACAAGTCGATTCCTCTTTCTTATACAAAATTTGCACCACTAAAAAGTAAATTTAACTTCAATTAATGTGCTTCGGTAGTAGTTAGTTAGTAGATAAGCACGAGAAATCGAAATTTCACCGCACAACTCTACGTGTTAATCGAATAAAAAAACGCGTACTCGGTATAAACCCTCAAAAATTGCATGGAAATTAAAATGTGTCAATGAGAAAAGCTCTTAAGGCCGCGTGAATCTACCGTACCAACTGTAAAGCGTTGCGTTTACGTTCGTTGACATTACATGAGACGACTGAGGCTCTTTCTTCACAAGTTTACGTATAGTGATGCAAAATTCGGGACAACATGTCCATATATTATGTTTCCTTTTTTTTTTTTCAATAAAGTTGAGAGGAAGAAGGATAGACAGAGGGAGAGGGAGAAAAGGATAGTAGAGAGGAAAAAGAGGGAAAGGAATTGGAATAATACAAGAATTCAAAAGTTGTCTGTAAGCTGTGTAAAAGATATCTGATATCTGACATTTAAATCGCTTTTTAGATATCTTTACAGCATCTTGATGACATTTTTTAGAAGCTTGTATTGTCTGGAAAGGGGAATAAAGGATTATAATAAACTTTACTTGTTAGAAGAATCTAATTCGGCGATAAAAATCTAAATCTCTAAGCAGCATTCAAACAGAGAATATCCAAGTAACTATATATTGCAGCTATTATAAAAAAAGGAACTCGTGTGAAAAATTAGAAAAAAAAAAGAATTTAAAAATGTTTCTTTCTGTATGTGTCCTCATGTACACCAACATACCATTCTGCAAGTGTGTGTGTGTGGCGCGGAACGTATTTTGACGCATCTCTCATTCAGAAAAAAAAATATTACGCTTTGTAACGTACAGATTTAACGTAGATTAAGCGTGAGATTTAACAGACGCGATCGATAGACATTCACATAGATTATATTATGATAATCGTCGAAATATGTTCGGCTCACATGGGCGTTAGGGTAATTTGATCGGGTATGATGTATAAATATTAAAGTATATGATAAAAAGTAAATGAAACTTAACACCATCGTGATGCCTAACAGAATTATAAACGCATGCGATTGAAATAGAGTGAGAATCTAAAAGACAGCACACTTAAAGCGGCAAATTAGAATTAAATGTGTGAATGATTGTTAAAACTAAAATAGTCGTTGAACTTGGTCAAGTATTATGGCTGCGATAAGCGGCGTATTTCTGTCATTAAGTATTATCGAGTGCTATATTTTTAGTTGAACCATTCCGCTAAACCACTACTCCGTGACCACGCCCGGAAGGATTATTTGTAATACTTGACTAAGCATACCCATTGTACCATTTTCCGCGTTGAAAGAAATATCGTTCGAATGATTGGTACTGAAAAATAGCTCAATGATACGGATGAGATACAGATGAGATCTATCCGCGTTTAAAAAAAAGAACGGATGATCGATGAGTATCGCTTGAATTTCAAAAATGGTACAGGATGGTTGAACGGTTGTTTTTGTTAAACAATAAGCAGGACTTACAACGCGCGCAGTACCCAGTGACACAAGTTTGGCGGCCTTTTTTACCTGTACGCCCAAACGGTGTTGCGTGTGGCGACTTGTCTGTTTTACCAGTGCGCATATAAATTCAGACTGAAGTTCAGGCTGGTCTAGGCATTGTTGTAATGCGTTTTGCGCTAGAACCACGTGGTAGTCGATACCTGCTTGTTCTACTGCCACCGACATAAACAGCTGACAAGCCTGTACGATTAGAAATGTGTCAGATTATTTTAGCGATACATTAACTCGTTCCTTTTAGCCACGCCTTGCTATACACTTTTCTGCATTTAAGATAAAATAAATATATATATCAAGTATAAATGGAAAAAGAAGGAAAAACTGAAAAGTGTAGAAAATGTAGCTAAAAAGAACTCAAATAAGATTCAGTATCCACATAAAAATTGAGTCAAAACTTGTAAATTCTGTATTTAAAATGAAACAAACATATCTACATTTCGGAAACAAAAAGATAAAAAAAAACAATTAAACCATAAGTTCCGAAAGCATCGTAACATCTAATATAATAAAGTTAAATAAACCGTTGGAAATTAAAATTGTCATTTTTATCATGCAAAAGAAAAATGTTAAAATTTTGGTATAAATCGCAATAAAGCAATCGCGAAAGAATTGACGAGAGATCGTGTCAACCTTGAAGAGTTTTATGGCTTCAGTTTGCAGAGATTCCGAAGTTAGGCTTGTCAGCGGGCTCGTGATACTCTCTTTCGTGTGTAGCAGCAGAGGATGCCGCCACAGCACGCAACTAGGATCACCGTCGGTTTCCATTAGTCTCTGCACCAGTTGCTCGTATTGTGTGCCCGCGCTCGGTCCACCGCCCGACACCACTGTCAAGTGGTAGAGCCAGTTGTCCTTATCCTGCTTATGTGGCATTAGTAGATAAGTTGGGCCCTGATGCGTCGGAAAGATGCCGATTGTTCTCTCGTGTGGACACTCAGCGTCTCTCTCCTCACTGTCGCTATCCGAAACATGTTCCACCTCCTCCACTCGAGCGTCCCTCATGTTGATTTGGCCGATAGGATTCTGGTGATTTAAAAGATCGATTAAATATATTTGATATGATTAATTAATTAATAAGTGTTTATGTAAATTAATTACGATAATATCAAAGTCGCTTGTTGTACAATCATTGTATCTCGAAAATGCATCTAATAATGATTTCGTTAATATTCGTATACACTTACCATATCACTTGGGCACTTAAAGTAAAGGAACATCTTTCCGATGAGCACGCACCAGCACTTCTTCGCATGGCCGTTTTTCACCTTCGTCAACCAACCCTGTATCGTTGGTTTATTATCTTCCCTGCTGAGCAAAAGTTTCGTTGCGTTTCGCCTCTGCACGTTCTGCAGTACCCTTATCCAGTCTTCCATTGTGGCGATGCAGTCTGCGGTCAAGTAATAAGTCTTCTTACCTGTGGCTATTTCGAAAGTGGCGGCTCCTTCGGCTCTATTGATCCTGGAAGATACACAAAAATATATGAAACTGCAGGTTCTTCAACAGAAATGAAAATAAAATGTAGTCAAATATAATGCTTTGCTAAAATACTAAAAGTATTTTTAAATCTCTGTAATAATGAGCTTTTATGTTATGATCTATTCGTTCGATCGAGTCTCTTTTTCTCCGCGATCTATGAACCAATCTTATATCGCATACCTGCACACTTCGTCCAAGATTATTTGGCCTTGAGGTTTCCGGTTGACGTCATTTTGACTCTTCCAATACGTTAACACACCGTTTTTCAACACGAACCATCGCTTCCGCCAAGTTTTTAACTTGCCGCCTAATTTCGCCAGATGACCCGTCTTCTCCAGCGATTCCTGTCTCTTTGGACTTTCGCCAGAGACGCGCATTAGGAGGCTAGGCATGCTAGATTCTAGAGATGTCGAACTTAGTGCATCGGGAGGTATTGCATAATCCTCGGATAATCCTGACTCAAGAGAAGTATCTGCAAGCCAAACAAACTTAAAGTTGTTGGATGTCGGTTATTTTATACGTGAATGTATTCTACTTTTTTAGGTTGATTAACAGTTTATGTTCCTGTTTGCCTGTTTATCATTCTTACTACCGCTTTTTCGATGTGCAAGATAGTACCGAAACAATTACAATAAAATATATTTGATTTATGTGATATATATTTCTCAATTGAAATAATTATAGATGTTTATTAAAATGCAACAAAAATATTACTTTATTATTTATTATATGCTGATTTTTTCTTGTCCAAAAAATGGATAGAATTATTTTAAAAGTAGTAAAAAAATTGTGTAAAATGTTAAATGCTATTTACATTTTTATCATGAAATAAATAAATTTAAAAAATCACATTAATTAAACTCACCACGTTTTACGCTTTTACTGGGAGATCCGCTAGAACTTCTTTTCGCGGGACTGAGGCTACTGGTTGTTTTGATACTTTTCGAGGGACTGCTTCCGCTACCGAGGGAGGAATCCGTATTGTCTGACGAGCTATTGGTAATTCTAGTATTAGTTTCAGTTTGATTCGGATGTTCCTCGCCGTCCGAACTATCATCAGAGCTATCGCCGAAAGGCATAGATCTGATTTGACTGGCACGTCCTGAAAAATATATGATCGATAAATATATGATCAAACATCGTAAATTTATATATTACAGAGCTAACTATTAATCACACTAGTAAATATAATTATTGTCCCATTTTTATTATACTTCTTACGCATTTTCTTCTCTCACGCTACACCAAAAATTTAATAAATATTTTTATAATCTACCTTTGACAGTAGCGTATACTGGAACTGAGATATCGCAGTAGCCTTGAGAGTTGTGCGCTGTTAAGTTGTGTCCCGTGGCCTGAGAATGCTTCGATGAACTCGTCGTAGTGGTCATCGTTGAAGGTGCGGACTCTTCGTTTGTCGGTGGACCGATGCCAAGGCCACCGTCCGCTACCTACAAATGATCATCGAGGCTTAGTTATTTCAGAAATTAACATAAAATATAAAAAAAACCTAGATTAGCTTGCAATTTTTATTAATGCACTGATGTAATCTGATCTTTACGATTTTTACTCCATTTATATGTCTTTGAATAAAAACTGAGATTAACGTTACCTGGTATATTTTCGCCTCCCAGCTAGGAAACCTGTGCAACGGTGGGGTGGGTGGACGAGGACCTTGTCCTCCTCCCTGCAGCCAGTTCATGCCCTCTCGGCTGGGTGTGTATATCTCGGCATAGTCGTGCAGCGCTTCCGAGCTTCCGCTGTCTCGGCTGGCCTCCGAAACACCGGATATATTTGGCAACATCACCAGGTTCTCCACCGCCGCGGCCAGCTCCTCGGACAGTAGACTAAGAGAGGATAAAGAGAAGCGGCAAGTAAAGCACATAATCAATTCTATTATCTTCTGTGCGGGGTATGTGCGTGTGCGTGCTGCGTCTTTAAATTCCACTACTGTTCGTTATAAATTAAAAGCGCCACGTAAATGTAATTCAAAATTATGAAATATTGTGCCATAATATAAATATAATAAACGTATAAATATAACAAATGTGACAAATAAAACACATGTAATAATAAAAGTATGATAAGAGGGTGGGACGACGGATCCCCTCAGGAAGTCCCAGGACGTTACAGGGTACCACATTTCGGAAACTCGGGCGCCGCTATCACGTCGTGAGGCCTCCCAAGGAGAATCGAGATACGAGTGCATTTAGTGTGCCCGTGAAAGTAGCGAGACAAGTGTTTAATCTCGTAAAAACGTATCCCGAAGCGTTTATTCGACGCCGAAGCTTTACCTCGAGTCCATGTTGGCGGTCGCAGCTCCTCGTTGGATGGTACCGCAAGCGGACAAATGTCTCCGGTGCTTCGTGCTCGTTTGCGGTTCCGCTACGACGGTCTGCACGCACTCCGGTGCCGTCTGCGGGGTACCCTCCAAGCTCTCCGATCGTCTACGATCGATACGCAAGGTGGGATCCACTTCCAGGGACAACGACGCTCTCGTCGGTGCCTGCATTTACGAAATTTTTCATTAAGAGACCACTAGATCTGTCAAATTTCCGTTAATGTCAAACAAAACCGGCAGTATAACTCTTTTTCGCGCGAATAAGTAACATTTGTTTGTAATTATTTCCAAATTTTATTTCAAATACATTAATTATTAAAGCATACGTTTAAATTAAAACATTAATTCATTTAATACATTCAATTATTAATGTTAAAAAAAAAGAAAGATGTCAGTCACAACTATTAAGAAAAAAAAAACTTACAGGAGGTTTGAGTCCGATATTTGTTATATGATTGCGCAACAGCTCGAGTTGCTGGTTACACTTGTTGTTCTGCTCCCTCAGGTGTTGATTCTGTTGTTCCAATTCCCTCAATTTATTAGTGACCCATTCTTTTATCCTCGCTGCTTTCGCTTCCACTTGCTTGGCGTCTTGCAGCCGTAACTGCCTCTGTGAACGATGATGACTGATTGATAAGGTGATAGCCCGATCCCGCCCATTCGGATAATCATCATAAATGTCTCAAGAGATTATTGATAATCTCAAATCTTAAGGAAAGAAATTGCAAACGTAGAATAAATCGTGCGATCATCTTTAAATAAAAACACGATAAACACACGCAATATTTTTAGATAGATATTATTAGATAAACAATCAAATGGTTGCTTATTCAAGTAGTATACAATTATGTTTTATATAATCTTTACTTATTTAGATTAAAATTGCCTTTTGTACGAACCCATCACTGTTTTTCGATAATTATAGTTGCCAAAGAAGATACTTTTTTTTATCTCGGCAAGATAAGTTTGAGATAATTTGTGCCAAAATATTATTCAAAGATACGTTTTTCGACCCCGCAAAAATTTCCTGACATTATAGGGACCATGTTTTACCTGTTCCTCGACTTGAGTCTCTAATTTTGAAATGCAGGCACAATGAACCTCTTCGATCTTGTCATTCTGCGTACCGGAGGTCGACGGCAGCGAGTGCGGCGGAGAACCAACGCCGGATGTGCTGAGGCAGTACTCACCCTTCACTAGCCGCTCCTCCATCATCCGTACCTGAAGTGGACAGAGAGTGAATGAGCGTTCAATGTTACATTTCCTGAAAACGTCGACGTATATTCGCGGTTTACAAACACGCACAATGTTATCGATGTTATCTAGATTAAATCATCAGTGATTCATCTGTTACTTTCACGAATTACGTGATTAAATCACCATTTCTTTAATTCAAGGAAGAAACGTTCAACGATATCGTCGTAAGTTGTAAATTTAAATATCTGAAGATTCGATTGATCCTCAAATTGTACGACAAATTAAAGAGGATAAAAGTTTATTATTAATTTTACTTTTCTATAACTTAATTTTTGAAGAACCTTTTATTTTCAATTTTAATCATAGCTAGATAGTTTACTTGATTATTAGATGACAACTGTTATGTCGCAAATAGATGGAGAAATGCATTTATTTATATAAATTATATAAATAAATATTTTTAAATGTATTTCCAAATATTCGATGCGTCACGGTTTTTTCAAATGATTTATAGTTTACATACATTTCCTAGTGTGCCGTCAAATCCAGCGATAATTTCGCTAGCAGAATAAATATCCTCATCGCAAATAGAACTCGACGAATCAAACGGTTGACGGAGAATTTTGCTCGATCGCGAATAAATAATCGCGAATCGAACGCATCAAACGCTTACCGGAAGATCTCGTAAACTTCGACCGGAAGATATCGGTCTTCATAAACTTGGCAGAAAGAATAATCGTGAACCAAAGATGCTGAAGAATCACCGAAAAGAAAACCTGACGGTTCACAAATAATTGTCAACAATGCTAAATAATTCCTGCAGAAAGTCGATAGACAATGGAGATAATCGCGAATCGTGAAAAATTGCAACCACCAGAATACGCTCGTTGTCGAGTAATCGCGCAGGGAATTCGAATTCCCTCTGCAATAACTGCAAATAATCGCAAACTATACGAGCACTAAAAAAAAAACAAAATAAAATAAAATTAATCTGCCCGAGCGCGTCGGATTAGCGACGAGCAATCGCGCGAGTGCGGAGTAGCGAAAGCTCGTCGCGCTCACGATCGGGCAAATAACAAGCGAGCGTGCGGATCGAATTTGCGCGAGTGCGTACGTCACGTTGCGTTGCGTGTGTTACGTTAACGTTGGCGTAGCGTTTACGCTGGGGAGAAGAGAGGAAGAGAGAAAGAGAGAGAAAGAGAGAAAGGAAAGAGATAGAGAAAGCTTTGTGTATACACCGGGGAGAGAACCCTTCCCACACACCGTACGTACCCGCACGTCTCCCCGTGTGGCGTTTGCACACGGTATGTTTAACGCGGCGGAGAGCAGCTGTCAAAAATCGATATCGCCTTAACGGCAACGACGGATATGTACGGTAAACGCCGCGAACGGGCGAGAGCGAGCGAACGTCCGCGGCGACTAGTCGAAAGGGGACTCGAGAGAAAATCAATACGGGGAAATCCTCTCTCGCACCGAATGTTTTCCCGGCGTGTGCCTTCGTCGTCGTCGTTGTCGTGCATGTGCTCTACCCTTACTTATATCGATCTTTCTCCGTCTCTATCTTCCTCGCGAACCCCCGGGGCTCTACCCGCGCGTGGCCGGCGCGGCGCGTTTTCTCGCGCGCGCGTTTCCGTTGTCGTCGCCGGCTTTGCGGTCGCATCGCTTACGTTCACCCGCGGAAAGAAATCGATCTCTGCCTAGGCGAGATGATTTCAATAGTTTCTCACGCTTTCTTTAAAGGGTAGCGCACGCGGGACTCCAACGGCGTTAATTTGCAGTCGACTTTATGTCAGCAAAAACGAGGGAGATTATCGGTTTGTTCGCGATATTCCAAGTTGCAACGGTTTATTAAACTTTTTCATTTACAAAAATTAAAAAAAGTGAATCGATACTTCAATGATACGATGTTTCGATTCCCGAAAGTATTTTGTTCACTGTACGATATATAAGTCTATATATAGAATTCTGCCAGACGCGTTATAAATTCACTTGCATCATTTAAGTTCTACGAAAAGCAGATTATATCCAAAGCATATTACGCAACTTAATTACTGATTTTTTTGCAGGATTATTACAATTATTACATAACCAGAAATTAATTTTATTTATATTTTAAATAATATATAAAAGCCGGTAATGAAATAATAAGCTAATGGAATAAAAAACTTTTATATCTGGATATCGCATAGATTTCATTCGAACTCTCGCTGCTGTCATAAAATCTTACCACTATTAGACGTTTCCATGGTGGATGATTTTTCGGACAACGCTAGCTCTAGTTCCTTCCCTTACTCCGGCGATTCGTCGGAAAATATATTCATCCACGGCAAAACAACTCTCCTCCGGCGAGGATTCGGTCGGCGGCACGGAGCGATTCCTCAAATAAGACGGGGGACACAACAAAAACGAGACGGCGAAATCTCGCGGACGAGTGCACGTGCGGAAAGCTGGAGTTTCTCCTCGTCCGTCCGCCCGCCGGTGAAGATCGCGCCGAACTGAAGCGAAGCGAACGCGAACGTACAACCCGAGTACATAAACTATACGGGGGGGTTTTCTAGAGGCGGTGAGTCATGTTGGCTCATAGCCAATGAGCGAATTTGTGGATGCTACTCTCATGTGCATGTACTCGGGACGCGCAACCACCGTGGGGTCAAGCCGATGACCCTGAGGCGAAGCGAACTCGCTCCCTGCGATGCTTTCTCGTGATGCAACGACGAGCCGATCGAAAAAAAAAAGACAGAGACGCGAGAGGAGAAGTCAGGTTCGTAAATGATTAAGAACGAGTTAACTCTGCGGGAAAGATATCGGGTACAATACCAAATTGGAGAAAATATCTGACCCCGCGATTAAAATTTGAGCTGACTGCTTTAGAAAGATCAAATTATGGAAGATGCAACTTGAAACCAGGTCTGGTTCGTAAATGTTCCATTTTCGTTCCGTTTCTCCGGGACCGTCTTGAAATTTATCGATTTACTCCATTTCCCGGTAACGTGTCCCGTTAGCGCAGGCTTAAAGGAAGAAGATTCCCAAGGATGATGAAAACGATTCGTGCTCTTTGACGAGCGTATAAGCTTCGATAAAGTCGGAGCCAGCTGGGCTCGAGCACGTCTCGTACCAGAGTGACTCATCTAATTTTTCACGATCCAGAATACTAATTAGCTCGTTAGTATCGTTAATGTTAACGTTCGTCGTCTCGGCTAGAATAGGTAAATGCACTTTGTTCCTTTCCAAACTATCGTTGGCGAGATAAAAAAGCGATTTAAAAGCGATAACGAAAAATGCATATCGCTTTTCTCTCGGTGCACCCCGACGCGACGGCGACTGGCGTCGCGCGATAAAACCACTGGCGCACAATTGTGTCAGCGAAGATTCCCATGATTCGTATTGCTACAACGAAACTGTTCATGCATTCGAAAATCACATGCATGCAGATTCTACGAAATATATTATAATAATGTATAAAGTAATTAAATGTTAGGTAATTAATGATTGTAAAAAAATATATATAAGTACATGCTGCCTTAGTCAATGTACCGATTTGGCAAATATCGATTCGCTGGTGCCACGTAATTTCCCATTAAATATGTATGAACATACACATTGAAACCACCTGCTACAATAGCCGGCGAAAATATTTTATGATTTTAAGGGGAAAAGCTCTCGCGAACAGAGAATATTTTTCAATATTTTTATACAAAATAACAGCAATATTCATCTTTTATTCATTCCAATATATAAATTTACATTCCAAATTAGAAATCTTCCTACTGTATAGCTTTCGGAATTAATTTTAATTAAATTTTAATTAATTTTAATTAAATTTCAATATACAGATTCGTTTGTTTAGTCATGTAAAAGCTTTTAAAATGAACAAAACAAAATTGTAGAGAAAGCGAAATATATCGAAATTAAAACGAGAATACTATAATTTGATTTGTTATTTTTTGATTGACAAAGTATTATTGTGCCTTTTAGAACGTATATAACTTTTCTTTGACAAACTAACTTAATGGCTTCGCGAAATAGGGTCCAGGACCGAAAGACGCGCAAGTTACGGAGAGAGAGACGAAGACATCTTCGTTTTATTTAATGCACGGATGTCGGCGGGAAGTGAGGATTACTCATACACTGGCCGTAAGCCAATTTTACATGAGACGCGACTCATTAAGTCGCTGTTGCAACCGGTACGTCGAGTTTAAGCGCCGCTCGTTGTTCCCGTCGCGATATATCTACGACGCGATAAAAACTTGTCGTCCCTTGCTTCGATACTGCCTCGCTTTTGGATACTAAAGTGTCTTAAAGAATGAGACGATAAAGCACATCTAAACCCAAATTATCTTACCTATCTAATATTACGATAATACTTTTCTAAGAAATTTTATCGATCTTTGTACTGACCAAAGATACAATTTTTTAAATAAATCCAAATAATTAATGGCAATACAATAAACTTAGGAATAAATACGGATAACTCCCTAATATTCTGTACCACCGAATTTTATCTGTTGCGATAAAATTCTCGATCTCTAAATGTAATTTCGATTAATGCAATTTTCGAAGTTGCGGCTTTTCTACAAGTTTTACCTCGATTTTTGTGCTGACCAAAGATACAATATTTTTTAAATAGATTCATCCAAATAATTAACGGCAATACAATAAACTCTTAAGAATGAATAAGGAGATCTTTTTAACATCCTGTACCGCCGAATGTTACCTAATATGATAAAATTCTCGATCTCTAAATGTAACTTCGATTAACACAATTTTCGACGTTACGGCTGGCAGGAAAATGGACGTTACATTAATTTGTTTTTATTGCCATTAACAATGGAAATCAGTTCTACAGAATCAAATTTCATACTGAACGAGATTACACACTGGATTTAATTGGTATTCAATCAGAGGTTCAATCGAAATCTGCTGCACAAGAACGTCTCTTTTACGCCAATTATCATATGCGTTGCGAATGAAAATGGAAACGCGTGCACGCGAGATCTCAATTCCGCATGATAATCATATCGGTTTTCAGTGCCAGATAGAATTTCAGTCGGTCCGATACTCGACGCCGCGGAATATCTTCGCGCGGTCGTGTGCGCGAAGATGCCATCCCGCGTTGGTCGTCGTGAGTTCGCGAACGGGGATCATTTTCGTTGCGGCTCATTTGAGCTCGTCGGAGAAGATATATCATATCAATTTTGTTCGATCCTCGGACAACGGGGACCGCGTTTATTACCTTTCATCGATGTCACCTGCTGCGGGCCATAATTCCTCGCGCACGAGAACGACGGCTTCGACGACCTCGACCTTCGACTTTCGACCGTGGACACGCGCGACAGATCAACGGTCGTAGAACGGCGGTGATCAGAGATCGTTTCCGAGAGATCGAAGCGCGGGGGTGACGTCGCCGCGCGATGCACCGTCGCGAATGCACGTGGTTTCGCAAGAGCGAATCTCGGGGTCATAACAAAACGACGACCTCGCCGGCCAACCGCACGGCCATCTTGCCACTCTTATCACTCTTCCCTCTCGCCCTCACCCTCTTTCCCTCCGCGCCTCTCTTTCGCGCTTTCACCCCTTTCTCCTTCCATCCCTTTTGAGGCACCGACGCGGATACCGACGGATACCGACGGACACCGTCGCATCAGTTAGGTGTTAGGTAATCGATATTTCGCCCTCTTCGCGGATATCGGTAATGAAACTACCCCGCTTACCCATTTTCACGTGGGACTTTAATTAACCAGGAGATGGAGAGATCAAACTTGTTAAAAGAGTGTGGAGAACTCGTCTTTTGTTTGTCCGTTAAAGTAAATCACGCGTGGTTCCAAAAATTAATTTTTATTAATCTAAAATTAATGTTCATCAATCTAATGTCACGTATATGTCGCTTTCAATTACCTTTAAAAAAAATGGAGATACCCACCGTCAGTGGGGTTGCGAAAATTTGGCAACTCGCCGTTGCCCCCGGCTGATAAATCGAGCTTGTGCCATGGAGGTTCGTAGGGGAGTGTACCATTCAAGGAGGGATGTTTTGATGTCCGTCGGTAAAGCCGTATAAAGATATATATATATACGAAGAAACGCGCAGGGTCGCAGAAATGAGACCGACTCGTCGTCGGTAAAAGAACCAGTGTATGGTATAAAACGGGGGTAAACAACCCCCTGAAGAAAGAGAGAATAAGGGCTGATGGAACCGTTCCAGAATCCACCGCAGGATCCGTCACGTATCATTGCGTAATCTCCACCTAGATGGGGTGGAGATTAGTTCGCGAGAGAAAATATGTAGAAGAATATACACCTTTGCGCTCCAATTTGATAAGATTTGTAAAACTATAATTTATATATCAGACGTAATAAAATAAATCTTGCATTTATTAATTTTTTTATCACGTCGTTTCGTGTGCGCGTTGAGCATATATATATTTTTCCAATCTAGAAATATCAATATGTTCGCTCTCACCTTGTCTTCAGCTTCGTCCGCCCTGCCCTCCGCCTCCAACACCCGCTGCTCGAGCTCCGAGAGCTGAAACAAAAAGCAGGATCGTTTTAGCGATACGTCACTTCACGCAAGATTGATGGCGTTTTGCGAGATAGACAATCTCGGCCTTTAACCGTGATTCTATCCGACTCCGTCAAACGTTGAATGCCGCATGGTAATTTTCACGATTGACTCTTCTTTCTATGCTATTGTACGCAATTGTTGTTGCTTATTCTATCATTTTGGTGTAGCGGTTTCTTTTAGTTTCAATAAAAAGTCACTTGTGCGTAGATTTGATTAGATTTCGCTTATATTGCCTGGCTTCCGACGTTATCAAGAGCGGGTGACAAGAACCTTCAATATCGCGTAAGAAACTCGATGTTCTTGAAGACGAAGAAAGTTCAAGTAGTTTGATGTCTAATTTCGCGAGGGAAAGTTTCGTCAAACTTGGCTAAATCCACAGACGAGGAGTACTACCGACTCGATGACAGTTTAATGGATACGGCGAAGATAAACCGGACCGAAGAACCGGCTCGATCTAACCGAGATTGATACCCGCGTATAAAGTGACAATTTCGCGCGAAAATCTTATCAGGATTTCAGCGACGTTTCAGCGACTCGCGATTTTAATTGTATTGATAAGTCCTCCGATAAATTTCGAATCGATCTTTCATCGATATAATTAAGTCTGGAAATTTCAGTTGGACTTACTTCGTCTTGGAACTTCTAAAACTTCCAAAATTGCAAAAATATAAAGTTGTCAGTGTTAAAAAAATTATTAAAACGCGGAAGTTCGTGAAGCTTTATGGAGATCCTTTTAAACAAAATCACTCTAATATCGCTATATTGTTGATGATTTTTTATGCTTTTTAAAAAGTCTTTTGAACGAGAGAGAGAGAGAGAGAGAGAGAGAGACAGATTCTTGTTAAATTTAAAAACTTCAATATTGCTTTCTATCTCAGATCTGCAATCTTCTCGTTTGAAAGACGTGGTTTTTGCGCGGTAGTTTGTCCCGTGATATCACCGAGTAACGAATGATCGTCAGAGCTTCGCCACAATAAGAGCAGTCGGCGAATATAAAGAATCCGTAGTTCCTCCTCGCTCGGGCGAATAGGGCGGCCGTGTAGCGCGATCTCTTCTTTTTCGAGGAAGATGGATCGGCGAGAGCGGGAAAAGAAAGGGGGAAAAGAGACGCGAGTTGCAGCGCGAGGCGAGAAGCGGAGGGAACCAGGATCTCATCAGGGTGAGCGCAGTTAGCAGCATCTGGCGTCGGGAGGGAAAAGAAAAAAGGCAAAGGGCTGCGAGGGAACAGAGAGTGAGTAGCGGAGGGGGCCCGCGCGAAGAGAGAAAGCGTAGAAACGTAACGTTCCTCCTAATGCGGAGGGGAAGAAAACGCGCGCACTTTCTCGGCGTGTTACACACTCTCGACACACGCTGCTGCCAGAGAGGGAAATTCCGCGACGTTAAGGCAGGTGGATGACGGGAGAACGACTGGTACATTAGCCGCAGGGAGGGATGCGCCACCGGGACCTCTCAAACTGTCGTCAGTGCGTAAATTTCGCTTTTTGCGACGCCGAGATGACGCCGGAAGGTATCTGGCTGATCTAATCTGGCGAAATTTCGCATATGCGTTCCATCTGTATCCTACGGCTATATAATACATGGATCCTTGCCTCCATTTAACCCTTTAACTCATGATCCTTCAGAAACTGCGATAAAATTCCCGTATACTTTTATATCCAATAATAATAATAATATAACATGTTGCTGGAAAAAGTATCTACTTGAGGAAGAAACAATGATTATAGCAATAACAATTTAGCCGCAGCGAAAGGGGTTCGCTCACGTGTTCGTCGGATATTCGGGGCTTCAGAGAAAGCATTTTTTTAGGGTGGAAAGGAAAGCAGCGAGTAACCTTTTTCTGTGGCCAGCAGGGTTTCTCCATAATTTGTCCAGGTCCACGCATAAAGCACGGAGGGTGAAGTGAGGAGGAACGATAACACACCCTCTCGCGTTTCGATCGTCGGAAGATCGCGCGCGCCGAAACGTTGTCGTCGCGAGGATTGGCTCTCGTTAATGTTATCGGTGGCTCGCGTGACGCGAGACATAGAGGCCGGTACTTTCTTGAATTTCGTTCGCTTTGTGCGCGAAAAATTTATGGCCGGTTCCCGATGTTGTCGCGTGCGGCCAGGGAGAATCACGGAAAGTGCGGAGAAGGAAAGAGCGCTGAGTCGGAAAAGGAACGGCAATCCGGTTTGTTTCTTTTCCAGGGGTAAGAGAAAAAAAAACTCACAAGAGCGGAAATTACTTCCGGTTACGTGATTTATATACTCCTCCCTTCCTCTCCCTTTCTCTCTTGATACGCTTCTGGATTGTTATTAAATACGGTTGCGGTGGTCATCCTGTATGAAGTAGATAAGTTAAAAGTAATATGAACAGTTACGACGCATCTCAAATCCGGAAATTGGCTTTGCTATCGTTAAATTGTTTCCTGTTTCTTTTCATTTCCATGTTCACGTTTATTTGTTCTCAAGAGAATTGAGAAACACCACAAATAAATTTCTCAGTATCGCGATCAAATGAATTTTTCCGCACTATATTTTGCATTTCAATGTAGAGCACTTCAAGAACTTGAAGAATTAATCGAATTCTAAATTTTTTATTAAAATTAATTAATTATAATTAAATTATTGCAGGAAAATGATAATAATCAAATTATTCTATTAAATAAATCGAATAAAGATTTTAGAGGTAACCGGAAAACGTTAAACGTCAGGATAATTAAACACGTGGAAATGTAGTTGTTTGCAACAACAGATGGTATCAATCACCACCTTTTCTGGTATTTTCTCGATCGATTCAATTTTCCTGCTTGTTACGGAAAGACCGTGCTCTCTGTATCGAACACTCCCTCGACTTGCTCGCGGTACGGGAGAAGAGTAATGGCCGGTGGAATTAGCTCGACGAAAACGAGAACGTATAACGGTTAGCACCTCGTGCGTTAGCGTTTCTTCTTCTGCGGTACCGCAGGGCGAGTGTGCACGACCCTTATTTATAACGAAATCCCGGGGTCGAGAAGCCGGATCGCTCTCCCGTGCCTTGTATATTAAACTATGCCAGCCCCTAGGAAAGGGGTACGAACGTACGGACGGTTTCACAGGGGTCACGAGGGAAGGGAATTATTGTCGATATGGCGAAACCGAGATTCACCATTGATCCACATCTCGCGATATTAACCTTTATTATTTAGTCTTCCGTTAACATTATCGATAGATATTATGACGAACGAGTCGTCATAATATCGACGTATAATCACTCGAACGTTTTTGAAGCCATAATTCTGTAGCTATCACCGAATAATAGAAGATAATTTTATATTTTTTGAAGTAGGAGGCTCTGATAATGAATATTCTGTGAAAAAAAGTTAAAAAAGAACAGGTTAATTAAAAGCTCAGCGCGGTAGACGCTGCACAAATTATTTTTCTTTTTATACGTATCTTTTAGAGAGTATTATATATGTATAAATGTAAATGGTATAAATACGTTACACATATACGTGCAAAATATCAACCCTCATTTGGCAAATACATAACAAATAACAACATAAATATACTTTTACTTTACAAAAGAACACTCTATCAAGAGCAGATTTTCCAAATTTACTTTCTCGAGGTAACAATCTTATATTAACCGAATACGTGTCCGCGTTCTCCGCCGTAGACACTCCGGATGTTCGGAGAGGAACAAACGGGCCGAATCGTCCGGCCGAACTAATTCTCGTATCTTTTTATTATCGCGGTCGTAACGCCGCCGCCCGTCATCGTCACGTAACGTTGTCGCGAACGTTGGTACGATCGCAGTTATCGTTATTGCACCCGCCGGTGCATCCAGCCGCGAGTACGGGAACGTGCGCGCCTACGTGCCCAATTCCCACTGCAATCCGCGTAACTGCGACATTTATTCGCGGGACGACCGATGGAAGTGCCCGCCGGCCGGTACACGTGCCCTATGTACCGGGGTGGTAAGCGTCGCCCGCTATCGTCTGAATCATCGTTACGAAGAAGAGCACGAGATTTTTTCGCGTCGGCTTACAGCCGCCTTATACTCCTAGTTACGCGATGTAATCTTTGTCGTCAAACGTTCGCCAACATGGTTCATATGATAGGTCACGAGTTTTGCAAGTTTTTACGTGGTCCTGCGTCTAATATTGAACGCAACAATCGCTAGTTCCTCGTGGATTGTATGTTCCTAAAGAATGTGTGTATTTGCTCTGCTCCCCTCTCAGCGTAACCCACCTCTAACGTATCACCCTTTTCGCCGTAATATGATTTTAGAATCGTTTCATGATGCGTATCTAAAGTGGACCCATTCAACGATATTTCAGCTAAGTGTTTATAAGCCTGGGGGATACGTACAGTCGTAAAAAGCCTGGAAACCACTGTCTTAGTGGAGACGCAAGTGGCGCAGGACTGGTTTTGATGTGTGCGGTAACGGGTATCCAAGTCGTACCACCCCACTGCTTTCTCTCGGCATTGATCAGAAAAGAAAGTTTGGGGACTGGGGAAATAAATGGAAGGCATCCTGAACGAAACGACAAAATGATCAGAGAGTATAATCAGGGCTGGATCTTTTATTAGGCCTCGTAGGTATGGTGCTCACAGTCTATGAAGTATCTGAAGCTTATGAAAAAAAAAACCGATAAGGAATGAAAAATCGAGACAAAGAAGTAATCCGATTAAAACTGAAAAATGGAACTGCATCCACTGGACTCACCATATCTTGCATTTTAGAATAAGAGTAACTTAGGTCCAAAGAATGTTTGAGCAGGAAAACAAACTTTTCTTCGAACAAATAAAGAACGGAGAAAATAAGACAAGGAAACAACGCCAGTCGAAAAGCCAAAATTGTGTACCGATGTAATTAGAACTACGTCCGTTTCTCTCGGAACAGAAGTGTCCAAGTTGTACGAAGATCCAACCCTGAGTATGTGTAGTAGCGACAAGCTGACACGGAGGTTACAGGAAAACGGAACGCGGGCAGAGGAGACGTTCGAGAAATCGCTTAGGGCCGAAGTGATGGCCCCGGCACGAGATAAAGAAAGAAGCTAGTGCCTTGTAAAGCTCGTAACCCAGATGCGTCCCGTGTGTTTTATTGCCCTTTTACGCTCCACGGCCTGTGGGGTAGGAAGGGGGTGTGGCGGATAGCGGCCGTTCGCCGTCGTTTCTCGCCCGCGCACACACATACATATACGATCTTATACGGAAGCGCGAAATCGTGCCGTCGACGTTTTAGCTGTACGTCACCGGCGAAAAGTGCGGAAAAGTTCGCTGAAAGGTGCGGCAAACTTCCGCCGATCGCCACACCGAGACTCGTTGTTCGTCGCTAGCCGATCTGGTGGTACGGCACGTTGAAGTTTTATCCAGCCGTCTAATAATGTATCGACACAATATAACATTAAAGTCAGCGCATATTATATAATAGAAACTCTCTTAATGTGTGTCTCCCTTCTGTTGCTAATATTCATAATGTTATTAATCAATAATCTGCACTATATGTATACTCGCTTACTTCATATATTATAATCTCTTCTTCTTCTGAAGTATTGATTTTGATAAAGAAAATCAGTGAAATAACTTCCCGTCGAAGAGCGAAGTTTTACACAAGTGATGTTGGTAGAGAGATTAGTGATCAGTCATACGTCATACGCAAAAATTCGTTTCCCGAAGAAAACTTATACCTCGTGAACGAAACGTTCTCCTTTCCGGCGACACGTCCAATTACAACAAAAATATTGTCAACCTCTTTTTATTCCCTTCGTCTTCAAGGTACCGCGAGGAATCCACCCTGTCGACCCGACGTCAGTGTGCTTGACATTCAGGATTAATATTTTTCGGCCAGTCGCGGTAGGCGGCAAGAGGGTCGATAATACGCATCCTTGCCGCAAAAGCGGAAAGCCGCTTAGGCCAGCAACCGTGGCCGAAAAAGCTTTCTGCCAAGGGAAGGCTTACCCTCCTTACACCCTTACGTCCCCGTTGCGAAACGCGCGGATGTCTGTTTGGCGATAAAGCTCAGCGTCCCTTCCGCCTTCGGTACGTTTTCTTAGCCCCGGAAGCTTGCTCCCGTTAGAAAAGGATCAGTTTATGCCCGGCTGAATGTTATGAAATAGAAAAGGGAGATCAAAGATCGGAGATCTCAGATATAAGAATGCAATGAGATCACCCATAAATTTCAAAAGTGTTCGACGATGAAAGAACAAAAAAGAGCTCATCTTTATTTCAGTTACGTATAGAAATCTCGAATTAATATCGGTTTGCAATAAAATGTTATAAACAATGTAAAATGAATAACGTGTCGCTTAATTCAACAATTTCAGACTGCGCATTGTCTGAGAGCATTAGCAAGAAAGTCTTTCGTATTTTCGGTTTTCTTTTACCACGCGGTAAACCCGGCTCTTTCCGTCTAGCGCACCGATTGTACCTGCGGAATAATAAAATTAAAAAGAGACCGGGAGAATTGAGATTGGAGTCGCCGGGCTTGCGAGCCGAGACGCCCGAGACTTGTCGCTCAAGACTTCGCGCGCGCGCGCGTCCCCCAAGAAATACTAATTACAAAAGTAATTACAGCAGTAACAGTAGACACGATAAACGGCATTATCCCGCGCGACAAACGTAATTGCACGGTAACGGAAGGACAATTAACTGCTCCATTTTCGCGGGCAAACGGCGCGTTATCACACGTATATACGCGTATACGTCGGGTACAAAAACACATATATACTCGTACACACACATACGCCATATACGCGACGTTATTTAAGCTTCAGCTTACGTTACCGCGCGACGCTTACCGGCGCATCCTGCTATGCAAATGCGTGTTGAATTATGCATTCCGTCCGCGAGTTATAGATACATTCCCGCGAGCGGAAAACGCGCGCGCCGAGTTATTATTCCGTAACCCTTCCGCTAGGGCCGCGTATCGCGAATTCATTTTGCATTATAATTCCCGAAAGATTGGAACCGGTGGACGGATACGGGGCCGCCGCGTCGGCTTAATATCGCGCCCGTTCGTTGCCCAGGGTGATCCCACATCCGCGACGCACAACGCGCAATGCGGTTTGAAACTGCGGGGAAATTATAACCGGAGCTGTCTGCGCGATTTTTTGTCTCGCTCGGTGGTTTTTTCGGCCGTAAGCCGTTTAAAGTTCGGCCAATGAACCGATGATTCAGCGGCCGCGAACGACGATTTTCTGTCGCACTCGGCGTTATTACGAGAGAGCGAGCGGTAACGAGGGAGAGGAGATGCGTCGGATAAAAATGTCACGCCGTAAAACGTAAACGGTAGTAGCTTTCTGCCAGCTTTTTATTTGACATTTATTCGTGACACTTGGTGCATGACAGCAGTATGGACGGTATGGTATAAAATGTAGGCTCCACGCTAGGTTTTACATCTGACATTTGTTTCACGACACTTGTGCCTGACAGCGGAGAGCGGTAATATAAGCGATGAAGAATTTCTTTCAGATTGCATTACAATGAGAGAATGCTAGCGGGAGAATTAATGGAAATGCCATAAATGTTAAGTAAATTTAGCACGGGCAACGAGATAAACGACATCCTATATTAATTCGAATTAGACACATTTAATTCAACTACGATTTAAATCCTCCGTTTAAATCCTTTTCAACAATTTAAATTACAAATCTTTCTAAGGGAGGGAAACTCGCTAAAAATTATTTCTTGTTTTTTTTTAACAAATAAAACTTAAACATTGACTTGAAAAAACTGAAATTTTTATTTAAAAAAATATTCGATTAAATATAGATAAGTATAAATTATATCAAACATTCCCTTTTTTAGTTCAATCTTTCATATTTTTTTTAGTAAACAATGTTAATTGAAGTAGAATGTTTCTTTTCGGGTAGAAGAAAGACGTACAGATTTAATTGCTAGAAAAACTGGTTACTTTACGCTTTCTTGCCGCTTTTTCGGACAATTCCGTCGAAGTGGCCATTAACGCGCTGCTAGAAAACTCGCTTTAACCCTACACGCGGCATATATATACACGAATATCCACGCGTGTGGCGAGGTGTGGATGCTCGCTAAGTGGCTCCATTCAGCGATGCCTGACGGAATACATTACAGGAATAAGCCGCAGTTACAAAACTCGCTCCCCAGCGAAATCTCTTTTGTTCGTGACTTTTCAGGAAATTCTTTCCTCTTAGGAGAAAAATTTCCCTGCGTTCAGATAGGCAAACATATGGGAAAACCATCGTTCGAGATTATACTTGATGTTCGCTATTCCTTAATCGGATTTTTATGAGACCACTACCTTCTTAAGCTTCTTTCGGTATTCAAGGTAAAATATCTTGTTAACCAGGCCTGAGATTAAAATTTGTTTAGACGAAATATCGTACAGATTATATTTAAACGATTCACAAATTCTGATTGTTATTTTTACCTAAAAAATAATACGACTAAAGAAATTGACTTCTTCGACTTTTTGTTTAGTATATACTCGTAATCGAGTTGCGTATTATAAAAATTGGAAAAACAAACCGTGCTGATTCGCTCATCATGAAATCACTAATGCGAAATAAAAAAGGATTATGATTACGTTACCTTACGAAGCATCTCTTCGAGCGATTCCATGTCCAAGGCGGAGTTGTTGTTTTCGGTGTGTACGGGTTGCATCATTGGCAATTTATCAACTCCAGATGAGTCACTAGTCTCGGTGAGAGAGTTGTACTCGCGGGCACTAATCAAAATCGTTCGGCTATGATTTCATTGAATGCCATAAATATCGACGCGGTCGAAACTTATCACCTCGTAATCACCATCATTTCTCACGTCACATTGTCCATCATAATCGAAACTGTGTTCCCAATAACTAACTGTCTATAGACGGACAGATATGTGGTAGATATGTTTGGATTCTGATACGAATTCAAATAATAAAAGTCAGAAAGTTATCACGTTTCCAGTCAGAGTTAAACACTGATTTAATCTGCACCATTGACAAATTTAAACTTATAAAAAATCCAATTTTGCCATTTCCTTTTTGCGTTTATTAAATATTCCTGACTAAAATAAAAAGTCTGATAATGTATTTTTGCTCTTATACAAGTTTAGTGAACATTCGGCAGAAAACCTTTGTCACATTATTGATTTTTGTTACACGTGCTTGTGTATTAGGTCGCCGTGTGAAACCGCGGTTTTCTGTGGGTTGCGGTAAGAAAGGTTTGAGACAGCGGATCAGAGAGCCGAAAAGGAGGACGCTGTAAAACGGGACGAAAAGGGATGGTTAATCTTTCGGCGGGGGCGAGAGAGACCTGCCATATCGTCACACGGCGTCGTCATCGAGGACTGTCGAGAGCGTCGCTCTCTGCACGACTATTTTCGGACGTGGGGTATTTTTAAGCCTCGCTTTGGGAGTCTCGAAAGGCGCGATTTCCAGAAGAAAGAAACGCGCCGTTTCCTGCCACCGCCTGTCGCCTTTCACGATGCAGTTAGTCGGTGCAGCACTTCACGGACAATCGAGAAAGAAAATATGAAGGGGGAGGTGTGCGTGCGCGCGCGCGCGTTCTCACAGAGAATGTATACGTTCGTTTTCGACTAATTGAGACACAGGATAGACAGTAAAAATATATTTCAAACCCGACAAAGAGTTTTGTTCGAAGGATATTTTAAGCAATTTCCACGAGACGATAGAATGAGGTTCCCTTTCGTCCATCTCACGAGAAGGATACACATACAGATATAAATAAAATTAAAAAAATACATTAAACAAATATAATAATAAATAATAAATATTATATACAATAAGATAATAAAAATAAAATTCGCTTCATCTCTCTTATATAAATTTATATTCTTATTTATATTTCATTACTTAAAATTGTACCTCTCTTTGGCTTACCGCAGAGTTTACCGTGGAAAGTCTCGAAACGCGATATTTATTTTGTAAAAACGGAGATAAATTTTTCAATTCAGAATATTATACCTCCACACTGAGAAAAAAAATTTGTCAATTCTAAGAAATATTTAGTCCGATACGTTCAACTAAACATTTTAGTTAGTTAACTAAACATTAGTTGAATTAATTAATTCTTGATTAAAGAAACGAAATAAATTGTTGAAACAACTAATATTTAGTTAACTAGCTAAAATGTTTAGTTGAACGTATCGAACTAAATATTTCTTGGGATTAACAATTTTTTTTCTCAGTGCACGTTAATATCGAAGATAAATTTAGCACGAGATGAAAAAGGTACTTTTTCTCTGAACAAGCGATTTAATTATTGAGCGGCACCCAACCGCCGCGCCGACCGGATAATTATGGACGCGCGTAACTTTTTTTCACATTGATTTTTTTCACGTGCATCCCAACGCTGTTGGTCGGAATACAGCGGTCCTGTCGACTTCTAATTTTCGCGAACCGCCGATAGAAGGGTCAATATTTATTCTCTCTCTCTCCCGATAATACCAATCACCGAGAGAGCGCGGTTCACTTTCGCCGCTCGTCCCTCGTTAAAGTTCGATTCGTTCCGGTATTTGGTAAGCAAATAGAGGCCGGATCACCGACGACAACCTGCCTGCCGCGCTAGCACGTTATAAAGAGCCGAAGAGTATCAAAGGATGAAAGTAGTTCACGCAGAAAGTTAGTTTCCGCAATTTCTCGCTGCTTGTTCGCTCGCGCACGCGGTAGTTTTATTATTTTCCCCGCTCGAGATAAGCTCGCTCAATATTGACTTTAGCGACTGCACTGTCTGCAGATCGGCACCGGTTATTGTTATGTCAATAGTTAAACAAGTGAAATCACCATAAAACTAAGTGGAGTAGTCACGAATCGGTAATTTCCCGAACTTAGAAATGAAATAAAAAAATGCAATCGGATTGAAGAGCTTATACATTGGCAAGGAACATTCATCGACTTTTATTATTAGTTTCTCAATATTGTAGTATCAAAAAATCGATCGATCCTAAATTGACAAAGAAATCTGGCTTTAAAATCAAAAGGCAAGTTTCGGAACATCGCGTATCTCTCTGTCTATAGAAAAAGATAGATTGACGCAAAAAAAGATAGATTGACAATTAAATAAATAAAGCTTCACTTAAACTCTTTGGAAAATACGCCCCTCAATTAAAATGCGAAACCCGGAGAGAGTGCGAACGCGCTATAGATGCTATTATAGACGAGCCTTTCAAGTGCTTCCTAGCGCGTTGACGCGAGTCGAACGACATATGATTTCGATCCACCGAGATTTTTGTTCCATTCATGAGCGTCCGTGTCTCGTCGCTCGTCCCTTTAGTGACATTCGTTTGAACTCTCTAACCAGCGAAACCCACGCGAAACAGCGCGCACACTCGCTCTATATATCCCGATAGCCCCATGATCAAAGCTTAATTGAAAAAGAGGAGGCCGATCCTGAATGCGCTGGCGACTGATACTATCTGGAATAGATACCGCTTTTATCTCTCTTGTAAGCGGATATATAGGTTAGCCCTTTGATCAAAGGGCGAAAGGGCCACGTAATTTTTCGGGGGAAAAATTAAGAAGCATTTTGTACGACACGAAGCCGGCAATTAATGGAACAGTCGGCTATAATAATAGCTTAAGCTGAAAAGTGCACTCAGACTTTTAGAATAAATTTCAAAGACGTATTACTCAAAAATAATAATTGATTCTCTGTCCTCAAAAATAATAATTTAATACAATTTTCTAGATATAAATTAAAATTGTATTCGTATAATTGCGTTCTTCATCAAATAAATGCCAAAGTTTTGAACTTTAAAAATTATATTGTTAGGTGTTGAAAATTACTTAAAAGAAACAAAGGGAACGTTTAGTGAATAAAAGTAAAAAAAATATATATTGCCTCCACAACAGTATTTTCTTTAATTTCTAAGATTGTAAATTTAGATGAAAAATTATGACAAAGATTCGGATTCTGCGTAAAAAACGAAACACGTAGTTTTAATTATTTCGTCGTAAACATTCCTAAAATTCGATCTAATTCTGAGATCTTTAATTTCTTCGTTTGCCCTTTTTCCCCGGATTTATATCGCCGACGTTTAAAAAGGGGGAGATTTATTCTAGTCGGGAAATTAAATTTCTTTAAGAACGATAAGAAAATACAAAACAAGTAAAAACACGAAATAAAAGGTATAACATTATTGGATTAATGATGTAAAGAGATATTATTACAGGAATAAGGGTACGATATAAGTGAAAGCGATGACATACAAAGATTGCAAAGAAATTTTCGTGAGTTACGAACCGTTCTTACAACACCTTACGTTAAAGCGAACGGATTTTGATCCCAGAATTAATTGTGTAACAAGTTCTAAAAGTAATTGCACGCGCAACTAGGACAAACTTTTGATTAATTGCAGTACAATGCGGCATTCTACAGCTTTCTACGGGGAGCGCGCCAGAATAAACGAGTGGAAATTTTAATAAGACGGATCGACAAAAAAGTCAACCAAAGTCACCATTTATTACAGTCTCTTTCAAGTTTCAGTACGACATCTTTTTGTGTAATTATGTTCAGAAGTAATGCTCCCGGATTAATATTAAGGTAAAGCTTATTTCGAACCAAAAAAGAATACATTTTTGTTATAATATTTCATATTTCTTTTTAATATCTATATTTTAATATCTATAATATTTGTTTTCATATTATATAATATTTATTATTATTAATATAATAATATAATTCACCATTATCAATTTACTTTCTGAGAGACTTACTTATTTCGAGAGAACGTATTTATTTCAAATTAAAAGTTCAATATTTTTACTGAAGAAAAATCAATTCTGAATCAAATAATCTATCACTATAACTTTACTTGTTTATTATGGGATTTTCCATCGTATACCTTGCCGGGGCTGAAACTAAAAGTTACTCCGTAACTTACTCCTTTCGACTAAGCGCATAATGTATTCCAGTTTCTAGCGAATTATTTATAATAGTTTAACAAATCCTTCGTGCACAATCTTTCCTCAAGAAAGATTCGATAAGACGTCAACTTTCATAAAAATTAAAAAGAATCAACAATATAATTCTCGAGTAATACCACCGTTAGAAATATTGTAGCGTGAAACAACTGTGTTCGTGCGTCGTAAATCGCTATCGTATTTGCATTCCGATTGAGAAAGATACGCGCGGGCTTTCCTTGCGCGTGCATTAGATGCACTTACTGAAGCAAAAACGTACCTTTGTAAAGTTCTTTTATAATATCTTTTATTACTGTAACTTTTATTCCGGTAAGATATAATTAAATAAAGAATTTAGAGTAACTACGACATAATAATAATTATACTTACAAAATACTTCTTAAAATAATAGCTATAAGTATATATAAGTCGTAACATATAAAATTACCAAAAGTATATCTCATAATTTATCATTTACTTGTGTTCATATAATTTCATATTTATGATTATTAATTAGTACTCTGCTTCTGATATCGCGGAATGTTTAAAAAGCGACCAAATTGCTAAATTCGTTAAAGAACATCGTGGTATTAAAATTAATTAATTTAACTCGAGAATAGCCTGTATATACTTCATGAGTAAATTGAACGAAGTTATCGTGACTGAAAGGTCTCTTTTGATTTCTCGTTTCGTTCGACGTGATTTAGTAGCTAATTGACATCGCCTTGGTAGAAAGAAGCTACTAATTGCTTTAACACCGCTGTTCAAACGTAACCACTGGAAACGATGTTTGCTCATAATACGACAAAGAAAGATAATTTCTCGTCTTTATGATTTTTGTATATGATAACAAAAGATATAAAAGTGACAATAATATACGTTGCGATTGAGATTTTTATCTATAGTGTGAAACGCATTTGACGCCCTTTAAATGAATTATTGTCATTTACCATTATGTCTTTTAGAATTTGACTTTCAAAATTAAATACACCGGTTACACGATAATCGTATTGATCGCACGATTTAATATACGACTGTTAGCTTGTTTCAAAATTCATTTAACAATACACCAATTCTGGCGATCAATTGCGACACATGCTCACAATGCTTTATCTGAATATAGTGCTTCAATCCGATTACGCTTGTTGGTAACAGTAACAGAAAAAAAAAAAATAAACGGAGGTAGTATAACAGAGTAAAATAATGTGATATTTGATTCGGAAAAAATTCGGTATATCAAGTTGATTAAATCATCAGCAGAGAAGAGCAATATAAACCTATAATCTGGGATACAATAATTTGAATATTCCGACAAGGACAAAAATAGTTTCCAGGATTTTTTACATTCGTCGAGATTTACATTTCCGCGCTCTCGAAAGATTGCAAAAATCGCTGGAAAAAAATCGCGGTTCATATTTACAAATGTGCTCCAGAATTCAAAAGTACTCTATCTGTCTCTCTCCCCCTCCGCTGCCCTGCGTCTCCCTTTCCGCCACTTCAGATGTCAGTCAGGTATCGACACACAGGGTTTGACTGCCGTTCACGCAGAAACCGATTCGATTGTCCCCGAATTACGTACCCCTTTGTCCCTCATACGCGCCCACTTATCCCCCTCCGATAATTTACATCGTAGAACACCACGAGGGCGAGATCTTCCCGTCAAACGCGACGCTGACGCGGATCAATGTGATGCGGGATCGCGGAATTACGGATCCCGCGTGTATCCCGCGAGGGAGGAAGATCGGGAGGACGTAGCGCTCCGATCGCGTTTCACGGACCACTGAGGGGAAGTCACGTCCGTCGCGGTGGCAGCGGCGATGTCGGAGTCGGAGTCGGAGTTGCGTCGGGCGCATACGTCACATGCGCGCCTTGCGCGCAACGCGGCGCGGCGCGGCGCGACGCGACGCGACGCCGCCGCGTCGTCCTCGTCGACACGATAGCGAATGGCACTGTATATACTCTCGTAGAGGGATGCGACGTGAGTACTCGTAAAGCGCCAAATCCGAGAGAGGTCTCGGATTATACGAGCCGGCTTATTCGACTCGCAAACTACTGGATAAATTCGGAATTATCAAGCTCGCGCGCGAAACTCTCGCGTTAAGTTCTGCTTTAAAGTTACGTAGTCTCGTTAAACAGAGGCAAAAATTCGTCACCGGATGGATTAAAGCACGATGAATCAACGATGACTGTGCAAATTAATAAAAATTACCTCTAAGCCGCGCTTCCCGATTAACGCGACTCCGAAGTACTTCGAATACGCCGAAACTTTTGCGTCGCTCTTCACGAACGTTTTGCAATATTCATATAAATGATGTTACAACGGTTAGAACAAAGAAACAAATTTTATTCTGACGCGATGATTTATGTTCACGCAAATTCGTCCCCTCCCAATAATACGATTCCGTGTATCTCCGCCACACTCCGTGTATCTTTATTGCTGTCGTGCCATCTCGCCGATCCAAGACGTGTACCCATGCCGCCGGAAGTATCCATTAGACGAGAAGGAACTTAACAGTCTACGTTCGTGTCAACGGTAGTCGCCGTTGGTTACGTGATATTACAAGTACAACGTTGCAATGCATTTGTGATAAGAAGCTTCGTATGCGAATCACCGTGTAATAATGTACATTTCGCCGATAATCTCGAGAGAGAGAGAGAGAG